CAACCCGGGTATGTGTCCTGACCGGGAATCAAACCTGCTACCCTTCCGTGTACAGGATGATGCTCCAGCCAGCAGAGCCACACCGGCCAGGGCAAAAGTTTTAATTTTGATGATGTCACATTTATGTTTTTTCTTTGGTTGTTCATGCTTTAGGTGTCATATCTAAGAAACCATTGGCTAATCCAAGGTCATCTCCCCATGCATTTTTAAATTTGTATTATATTATTATTATTATGTTCCAGATATTTTTTTCATTATTTCATATTTGACCCATGAGATAATCAGATGATTTATTTTTCTAATTTCAACTCTCTTCTTTTCAGAAACCTAAGATCTCAGTTCTGGTCCCTCCCTTGGACATTAAAACCTAAGCCTGCAGGTTACCAAAACGAACACTCTACCCCCACCCCCTCCACATAGTGTAGCTTCAGCATGAGCTCGCCCACTAACTACAGGAGGTCCTCCAATAGCTTTAGTCAACACTGTTTCATTCTAACATGGATGAGATGCTGTAGGAACTTAACTGTTACTTGTGTCTGTGAGCCCCTGGTAAAACTGCCTTAGCATAGACTTCCCTTTGCTTAAAGGCGCAGAACCTATGGACAAGGCCGAGTGACACTTACTCCACTTTGCATTCTTAGTTCCTGATCCCTGGAACCCTCCCTTACTTTCTCAGAAGCTCAAGTATGTGCTCAAGTGCTCCAGGCGTGCGTTCGTAAGGGAGGGTTTTCCCATTATTCAGTCCACAGTATTCTTGGAGGGTCTCTGCTCACCTCTGACAGCTTCGTATCCCTTGTGAGACTTCTCCCTACTGCACTCGGCACCCTTTGGACTAAGCTGTACTTGATGTTCCTTGAAGCCACAGTTCACCTGTTCTGGAAACAAGGAAGAAGTGTAGGCAGAGGATAGGGCTGAGGGGTACACACCGCGATTTTCCTGAGGTCTTGCCAGGCCTTCACCCCCAACCTCCCCACTAGAATGGAAGCAGGAGCCATATAGCGTAAGGTCAATGTCCATAAATCCATGAATGCTCCCCAGCTGCTCCATTCTCTCAGCTGGTCTTTCTGGAAGGCCTGTGCCTATACAAGGTCCTGGGACTAACATGTGTCAGATTCCAAGTGCAAATGGTAAAAGGATAATTAGGACACAAATTAGAGCTGGGGGAATATATTATTCAGGCTCTGAGACTCAGACTCAATTTATCTTCAATAAATGTAAGAATAAAACAGAAAGTAAAGAACATGAGAATTATCATATTGGGGAGTAGAATTGTAATCAAGATACAAAGCAGGTCGGATGACCTGGTTATCTGGTCACTTGCTCAGCTATGGGCAACTATTGCTGCCTCTCTATTGCTCCACCGTTTTGGCCCTTCAGTTATTCTGTCTCTACTCCGTTGCTGCTATTTTTTTATGGTTTTTCTAATGATGGCCTCTCTTTACTTTTTCTTTGCATGTTTTTGGCTCCTGCCTGACCATCCCTCCTATGCCACCCACTCCTCCTTTGCCACCCACCCTCAAAGACCAAGTGTCCTATCACTGTGTCCCACATTCAGAATCTCCAGGAGAGGAAATGTGCTCTATGCAGTTCATCCTTGTTATCCCAGTTGGACACAGCCATTATGTCCAGCCATCCCTAGGCTCTAAGACAGACACAACTGTGGGCCAGGTGCTATTTCTCTGATCCAATGGGATACAGCCAGAGTGATGAAGCCACACAATTAGCTTTCTTTCAAATGGGCTGGCAAGTGCTCAGAGCAAAAAGAGTCCTATTACAAAGATCAGAACGCTCCTTCCCTAATGAAGCACACGGAGACTGAAGCAGCTGGACAGACCTGGGCACAAATCCTGCCTCCGCCGTTACTACCCGCATGATCCTGGGCAAGTCACCACTCTTCTCATCCCCAGCTTCCTCACAGTGAAAGGGAGATGGTATGCTTACTCCTGAGGCTCCCGGGAAAAGGGAATGCAGCAATGTATGTCAAGTTTAGCACAGGGTCTACACATAGCCAGCACTCACCAAATAGTCTATATTAACGGGCTTTCTCTCTGCACTCTTCCTGTCTCCCACCCAGCATCGTGATGACCACCTGTTCCACCTTCATTGCCCTGGGCATGATGCCCCTCCTCCTGTATGTTTACTCCAGGGGGATCTATGATGGGGACCTGAAGGACAAGGTACCCTATGGAGGCATTGTGCTATCACTGATCCTGATTCTCATTCCTTGCACCATAGGCATCTTCATCAATGCCAAACGGCCACAATATGTACGCTATGTCATCAAGGTAAGAACCTGGGGGCCAGGGCAGGGACCAAGAGCGCCGCTCTCATCTCAGTGTATGGCTTGAGGCAAGTCATTTGGGCTTTTCCTGTGTTGGTTTTTTTTGTTGTTTAAACAAAACAAACAAAAAAGTCTACTATTGGGACACCTGCTTCATGGGATTGTAATGTCCCTGAGAATACTTTCGAAATTTAGGAGGCAAAAAGAAAAACACCACACACAACTATAAGGTATAAACATTATTTTAACGATAAAATTAAATTTTTATTATGCACCTACTAGATGCTAGTTTTTATCCTACACTGTTGGAGGATTCACTGTCCTCGAAGAGTTTATTTGCAGAAAGTAAAGCAGCACATGAGAAACGAGACCCAACTCAGTGAACAATCAAGCATTGGCAAGGTGCAAGGAGGCGAGGTTAGTGAGGGCCAGGCAGTCAAGGAAGGCCTCCCGGAGGGGGCAGTCTTGAGCCAGACCACAAAAAAAGGGTAAGGTTTGGGAAAGCCTGGGGACAAGCCTGAACAGAGCAGTTCAGAGGGGACCAAGGGCACGCTGCTGACTGGTCAAGAAGCCAGAGGGGTAGAGCCCAGGGGAAGAGGTGGTGTGTGCACTCCCGGCATTTCAGGAGTTGGATGGGAGGAGACCAGAGTGAGTAAAACCCCAGAGGGTTTACGGGAGCACTGTGGTCACAGGCAGGGCATCACTGCCACTGCCTTGCCCTTGGAAGAATCACAGACCCTGGGAGGGCAACCATGGTCCCTCTGCCAACTTTCGTGACCTTAGACCTCAGTCCCTGTCGGTCTCCACTCTGGCTCACGGTTCATCACTTGCCCTTGGGAAGGGCTCTGCCCCCCGACAGAAATTCTGAGGGCTGTTTCTGTGTCGTCGACCCCCCCCCCATCTT